AATTGCTTTTTCATGTTTCTCTTGTTTTGCTTGTGTGTTTCTTTGTGGAACAGAAAGATTTTTCTTTGTTTCTACCAAAATAAAGTCTGGCAATTTTCACAGGTTGAAACAAGCTAATAGTTGATCATTATGATTTGTGAAAGCAACAATGTCTGAAACAGTTGTCTTTAAAGCTTTGTTCATTTGCTTTTCTTAGTTCCTGTCTCATTGATATGCTATGCCACTTTTACTGTAAAGCACTCTCAGAGCTGTAAAGTGCATTCAGAGTCCTTCCAGCTAACTTTTGATTGGTTCCTTGCCATGAGGAGGGTCTCTGACCTCCTAGTGACGAGTGCAAGCCCAGCAAGGTCAGACACATGCTGAGTCAGAGGCTTACATGTCTTTTTTTGTAGCTTGTCATGGCTGCTAAAGCAGGGGCCTAGTCCCTTCAGTGGTGTTTTGGGGAATTCTAGGAGTTTATTTAAGATCACTTGATTATGAATATACAAGATCGGTTCTGTGAAGTGATGCTTAAGCATTTGGTAATTATCTACATTCTGAATGTTGTCTGTCTAATTTTATAATTTTAATATGTATTTGTGACATTATTCAGTGTTTACTGCTATATTTATGAACCTGATTTTGATAATTCTAACCTCCTGAAACCAGTTTGTCTTTGTGTCTTCTAGTATAGCAGTATCTTAAATCCCTGTTACTGTTTCATTGATACGTTATTTGATAAGTGATCCAAGTCAACCCACTCCCTCAGTGACCCATATCCTTAAGATCACCAGCCTGTGACACACTCTTGGGAGGTAGAAACATCAGGAGGTGGGACTTGATAGAATTATATTAGATCATGAGGCGACATACTCTGGAAGGTAGCATTGGCTTCTTGACGTTGTGAGGTGAGCAGGTGACGTCTTTCATGTGAACCCACCATGTGTATGGAGCAATAGGATTTGGTCAAGGACTGAAACCTCTGACACCATGAGCCAAAATAAAAATTGGCTTCTTGCATGCTACTTATCTCAGTTGTTTTGTCCCTGTGATGGGAAAATGGACTGACTTACCAAGTGAACTAATCTGTAAAAATGACCATTTTCTATATATATATATTAATAAGCTTGCTTGACTCCTGAAATTTTAACTTTGTAAATAATTTTGACATCTCTAAAATAAAACAATTATGTTTTCTTATAAAAATAAGAGACTATTTTATTGTTCTGTTGCTGTGATGAAACACCATGACCAAGGGTAATATAATAAAAGGAAACTTTAATTGGGGGTGTGCTTGCAGTTTCAGAGTTCATGATTATCATGACAGGTGGGACACAGGCTAGCATTGTGCTGGAGCAGTAGCTGAGAGCTCACATCTGATACTCAAGTTGCAGGCAGAGAGAGAAAGACTGAGTTTGGTGTGGGCTTTTGAAACCTCAAAGCCCTAATCCCATTTAATGGACCTCCTCCAACACGGCCACACTTCCTAGTCCTTCCCACTAGTTCCACTAACTGGGAACCAGGCATTTAGACATATGAGCCTATGGGCCATTCTCATTCAAAACATCACATTCTACTCCCTGGCCCCCATGGGCTTGTCGTCTTATAATGCAAAATACATTCACTTACATTTCAAAAGTCTCCATGGTCTTTCACTGTTTAAAAAGTTCAAAGTTTCTTCTGAGACTTAAAGCAATTTCATGGGGGAAAAAGCAATTTGTATACTTCCAGCATGCAATGGCACCTAATGTATGTTACCATTCCAAAAAAGGAGAAAAGATTGGACAAAAACAAGACTGAAATCCAGCAAGACAAACTCCAGATTCTTAGGAGGTTCCTCTAAACTTCCACTCCCTGTTGCTTTATTGATGGTAACACTTTTTTCTCTGTCTTGGACTAATTCCACTTCTTGTGTACAGCTGTCCTTGGCAGCTATCTTACTGCAGCTCTGTCATCTCAACAACTTGAGGTCTCCAATGCAACCTAGGTTTCACTTTTCATTTACACAGGTTTCGGGATTAGCTGGTCTTGCCCTGAGGGTATCACTCTCTTTATTTCATTGAGCATCATACTTTTCTTTAAACTTCTTGTATCCTTGAGCACAAGATTTGGCTCCACCATTATACTTCTTGGTGCTCATTTTCTCCTCAAATTATACGTTTTGTATTTCTCTTTGTCCTGTTTGTGCATTTTCATTTTTATAAAAGTCATTACTAGTAACCCTTTGACACAGTCAATACTAGGCTGCTTTGAAATTTCCTCTGCCAAAGCCATTAATCTAAAACTCTCCAGTTTAGCTTCCAGCAGATTTTTAGGACAAAGGCAAAAAGCAGTCTTTGCCAAAGTAGCTCTAATATTTTTCTCTGAAACCTCTTGTGCTGGGCCTCCATAGTCTACATTGCTCTCAGCAGTTCTATCTTCTTCATTAAGCCCTGCTTAAAGCATCCAGCTGCTTTCCCTATCGAAAGCCCCCAAACTTCCATATTCCAACAAATAGCAGCATGGTCAGATCTGTCCCAGCAATACCCCAGAATAACAGGGAGCATGGCAGCACGCAGTCAGGCATGACATTGCAGACATCTTACATCTGATCCACAAGTTGCAGGCAGAGAATGAGTGAGATTGAGCCTGGTGTGAACTTTTGAAACCTCAAAGCCCACCTCCAGTAATGTACCTCTTCCAACAGAGCCGCACCTACTGATCCTTCCTAAGCAGTTTCACTAGCTAGAGACCAAGCGTTCAAACATATGAGCCTGTGGGGACATTCTCATTCAAGTCACTACAGAGGCTCTCTATTGTCTTTTATGTTGAGGTTTTTAAAGTGTGAAGTTCTATGATTACCCTTGATATTGTGTCTAACATTATATTTGGTTTCAATGAAACAGTCAGAAAGCTTGTTTTAATTACTACAATGGTGTGCTGAAGAACACTTGCTCAAATTCTGAGTGTTCTCTACCCTTTGCATAAGTAGGTACTGCTAAAGATAATTTCTGTGAACACTGTTTGCCAGGAATAGTATTGGTTCTACCTAAAGTTTAAAATTGTGTTGATTGAGTGTCTTTGGAAGGTGTCATTGTTAATGTAATTTTGTATTTGGAATATGAATTAAATCCTTTCTTACCAATTCCTACAAGCAAGTCAAGTGTGGATGTGCAGTGGGTAGTTTTTAAGCTTAAATATTTTGGCTGGATTTAATTACCTTAAGGGATAAGGCTATATGATGGGCCAGTGGTTTACCAAATTATTTTTTATTTTCTGGATATAGATGTCACTGAAGGTTAATGCATCCTCTTTACTTCACTAGAGACTTGAGCTAAAATCCATTTTAGGGCATGAGTATAAATGAATTTGTTGTTGTTTTTCCTCCTTGGGGACACTTTGGTCATTTTTCGAGTCTGTCTTTCCATTTGGAATTACTGGCAGCTTGCACAGGGCCCAGGGGCTGTCATAGCAGGGGCAGTTGCAAGTCAGTGTGAAAATGAACGGGCAGGCTTCAGAGGGCAGAGCTGGCCCAGGGCTTGTCCATCTTCCACTCCTTGATTCTTTCCTGCTTTAACTTAAGCAAACTTACTTGCTCCTGATGTTAGATTCTAGCACATCACAGAACAAGTGATGTGTTTATGGGCGTGCCATTGCACTTTATTATTTTTGAGTCATTTTGGGCTGGTTTGTATTTGACAGCCACAGAGCTTTCAGTATTCATTGTCTACAAACTCCCAGATGACTTCTTAGCCCATTCCATGACTTTTATTAACTATTTCTTTTCCATGAATGATGTAGGTTTTAGGGTCCTATTTGTATCCATAATCAGGTTTAATGATGTCACCCAGTTGTAAATGGTACTATTGCCTTTAGCTATATCTAACTGAAATATTGAGAAGCATAACCCAAGTTGGGAGTAGCCGTAGACCTTAGTTCTACCACATATGCTCCTCCCAGACTCGCAGTTATCACTTCAATTTTCAAAGTCAGTTACTTTTGATTCCCTGTCTTTCAGCTTCTCTGTCTATTGTTGGCATTCCTGTATGATTTGGTTCATTCAGTTCTTCTTGTCTTTAAAATCCCTTAAGCTGCCAGGCATTGGTGGTGCATACCTTTAATTTAATTCTAGTCCTTGGGAGGCAGAGACAGGTGGATCTCTGTGAGTTCGAGGCCAGCCTGGTCTCCAGAGTGAGTTTCAAGACAGCCTCCAAAGCTACACAGAGAAACCCTGTCTCAAAAAAAATCCCAAAAAACCAAAAATCTCTTAAGCCATCTTAGGAGCATTTCCTTTGTAGTTTATCTTCAGTTCTCCATTGCAGTCCCCTCTAGTTAATCAGATTGGATCAGGCTATCAAGAGTTCATGATTGCTACTTCCCACCTGTAGTAAGCATGCATCTATCTCCATTGCGTGTGGATATGAGAAAAATGACAGCTTTGCTCTTTATAGATACATATGTCACCTTAGCCAACAGAGCTCTGTCTGGCTCATGATCACCATGAGAATAAGCTAATACACTTTTCATGCATTGTGCCTTGACTTAGTCTTTAAGAGTGAGTTTTATTAAAAGTTGATTCAAACCAGTGTGGTTGTTCAGTGCTAGCTAGCCTGAGGCAAGAGGATTGTGAGTTTCAAGTCGCCTAGGGTCACATAGTGAGACCCTGTCTCAAAACAAACAGCCTGAACTAAAGACACTCCCCTCATAAGAAGTTGATTTCAGCAATCAGCAGTTGAGATTCTAGTGAAAATATTTATTGATATAGTTATTTTACATGTGTTCTTGGACAAGCAATGTGTATAGGAATAAATAGTACCTAGAGCTTACATGCCTTTTGTGTATTCTTTTGTCAGGATTTCCTTTTATTTTTCTCTTTTGTTCTATTTATCTTAACAAAACCTTAAGGGCTGTACTAGGTTAATCCACATGATACTGCCGAGTCTGATATTGCACACACAGTTCTCAGTGGCTCTTATTTTTTCTTACTTGTAGTATGGCAAGACTCTTCAGCTCTACTTACCTGGTTTCCTTTCCCCTTTCAGGTGTCAGCAGTAGAGTCTTTGGAGGGCCCATTGCTCCAAGTGGAAGGTCTCAGTGACCTCAGGCTGGAACTTCACAGCAAGAAGATGAACCTGCACTTGGTTCTCATAGAGGAACTGCACCGACACCTGTACATCAAATCCACTAGCCGAGTTGTGCAGCGTAACAAAGAAAAAGGGAAGATGAGGTTGGTTAAGGAGCCCCTCTACTGTAGTGCCTTGTGTTAGTGACATTATTTGAAGAATATTGTGATTTATTTTCCTATCCTGTATTGTACTGTCTCTGAACTTGTAAATAATAGCAAATATGCTATATTCAGAGAGGCTAACATCAAAGTTTGTTCATTCATTCATTGTATGTTTGTTGTGGTCCTCTTCTGAAAGGGTAAGAAGTATCTCCTGTGCACCTGCTATGTATGGATCAGAGACACTCTCGTGCTCTTAGAAGGAAGTCAGAAAGAACTACTTAAATTGAACAGTGAGGTCAGCAATGATAAAAATACAGAGATATAGGAACTTAAGTGTCAAGATTTGCTAGGGTCTCCTCAGCTTTAACAAATTCATTCTGAAAAGCTCAAGAAAAGCTTAAAGAAGACATTTTTTTGATTCCTTGACTTTTTGTAGCACAACTCTATGTTTAACAGTCTAGATAGATGCATAAAAGCCATTAAGTTAGTATAGACCTGGTGTAGTGTAAGGCTAGATCTTAAGATCATTGGAGCTATATAGTAGCTACATATAATGGGTGTCCTGGCATTTCTAGAAGGAGCTTTTCAGAAGTTCTTTCAAGCATTACCTGCTGAAATACATACACTTATGCTTTTTCATCCATCCGTGTACAAGGAGAACACTGGAATAATGCATGCTGGGAATGAAATCTTTAAAGTCTTGTGCTGTTTGAGCAACAACAATGACATTATTATGTGTGACGCTTCCATATAGCCATTGACTCAGACTTGAAAGAGAAATTTTACTTCTCTTTATCAGATGGGTACTTGACAAACTACTAAGCCCACAAATTGAAATAATGAATAAGTACTCCAGAATTACTTCAAGGCTAGTGTGAATAGGGTAACTGCCAGTTACCCTTTTAGTAGTGAATCGTGCTGGGGTTAGTGTGAGCAAGAGAGCTTCTTTCCAGTGTGTGGTTCTGGGTAAATAATAAAACAGAATCATTATGAATCTTGTGTAAATGGTTTGGAAGAATGAGCATTGTTTTCCTAACTCAGGGGAAGGACATTTATTTAAATAAAGCAAGAAAAAACCTGGAGAATTCAGGTTGAGATTTCTCAATAGATATGTGAAGCATGCACAATTATTTAGATATTGTGTTGGTTAATTTGATCATCAACTTGATTAGATTACCAAATGAATAGAATATTATTGAGATATACCTTTGAGTATATCTGTGATATCATTTCCTGAGAAGTTGAATGTATTAGAAAGATTCATCCTGGTGGCATCTTATGGGCTGAGATTGATTTGAATAAAAGGGGAGATGGGGAAAGACAGCTGAACATATGTTAAAGTGAGATGTGAAGAGTCCTAGTCACATGCTTTCCCACTATGGAGCCATCTGCTACCATGGTTCCCCACCTTGCCCATGTATCCCCCTATTCTGAAGGACTGTATCTCTATAAGCCATGAGCAACAAGAAACTCGTTTTCCTTTAGTTTGCTGGCTTTTGTTTGGTCATGTTTTTGGACCAGTAATGTATGTTCAAAACAACCCCCCCACCCCCACTCTTTTAAGTGGGATGAATGCAACACAATTCTTCACAGACCTTGCATATACTACTCTTGATTTGGGCCTTTGCTTTTGTGCGTCATTAAATGCCACTGTCAGAGTCTTGAAACATATTTGTATTGAGTATGTTCACTCTTTCCTCTACAGCTGCCTTATTGTACTTTGTTCCTGGAGAATGAGGAGGGCAGATATAAGGAACTCACCCAAAACTTATCCAGCCTGGCTCAGAGTCACCAAAATATTTGCTTATCAATGAACATTTCTGAGCTTTATGGTTGTATGTAGCAAGCATGCAACAGCTTCTGTGAAACAGTGTGCTGCATGAACAGAATAGAGACTCTAAACAGGACAGAACAAAAACATGAAGTGATAGGAAACAAAGAAGTAAGCAAGGAAATTCAAGTCTTGATTTAAAATCTTAGCAGGAGAGCCTGGGCATGGCGGTGTATACCTTTAACTCCAGCACTTGGGAGGCAGAGGCAGGTAGATCTCTGTAAGTGTCTTTGTACTCTTTGTGGGCCTGCCACTCAGCTCCCAAATAAATCCACGGACACCTATTCATACTTATGAATGCCCTGCCTTAGTTTGACTTGTTTCTAGGCAGCTTCTCTAACTTAAATTATCTTGTTTTTGGTCTTTTTCTTTATTCTATATCTTTCTTTCCTTCTTATTCTGTGGCTGGATGGGTGGCTGGTACATGGAGTCCTCCTCTCCTCCTTTTCTCGATCTTCCATCTTCTCCAGATTTCTTTTCCTGTTTATTATCTCTGCTTGGTAGTCCCATCTATCCTTTCTCCTGCCTAGGTATTGGTCATTCAAGTCTGTATTAGACTAATCAGGTGTTTCAGACAAGCAAAGTAATACAGCTTTATATAGTTAAACAAATGCAACATAAACGATTGCAACACCATCTTTGCATCATTAAACAAATATTCCATAGCATAAATACATATAACACATCTTAAACTAATATTTCACAGCAGATCTCTGTGAGTTTGATGCCAGCTTGGTCTACAGAGTGAGTTTCAGGACAGCTAGAGCTACATAGAGAAACCCTGTCTTGAAAAAACAAACAAACAAACAAACCCAAAACACCTCTCCCCCAAACAACCCAAAAACCCCAAAACCAACCAACCAAGCAGAACATTAGCAAGAAGAATTGAATGAATGTCTGCGTGTGCTGTGAGGTGAGAGGGCAGCTCTCTGCTTTCACATGTGGGTTCTCTTCTTTCACATGTGGGTCCCAGGGGTATAACTCAGTGCTGACTCTCCCGCTACCCACATTTCATTGTTTACCCCACTGTTTGTTATGGTAGTCTAAACTCATGAATAATCAGAGGCTCAGAAGCTGTAAGTAGAATCACGCAAAGAAAGCCCTGCTTTTTCTTAAATTATATTTTAAAGTTAGATTATAAATTGATATAGTTTATAAAGTGAATTTTCATATGTGTTTTCATTTCGGTTAACTTTCCCTCCCACTCTTTCATCTTCCTTGTCCCCTACTTCTGTCTCCACTTAAACATTTCCATTGTAGTACTCCCATCTCTACTTTGATATTACATATGAAGAACTGAGATTTTTGTATAGACTGGTTGACTACATAATGAATTCTGTACCAGCTAAACATTTGCTATAAGAGGACCCAAGTTCAAATCCCCAGCATTCATATATAATAGGCTTAGCTGTGTATGTCTGTAATCCCAGCATTTGGGACAGAGACAGACAGATATCAGCAACTTGCTGGTCAGTCAACCGAAGCAGTAATATTTATGTTCAGTGAGAGATCCTATGGAGAAGCAATTGAGGAAGACATTGGATATCAATCTCTGATCTCCACGTGTGTGCACACATCCCCACATACATGGATGTGTATATTCTACATATACATTGTAAAATGAAATGAATTAAGCAAAGATCTCTGGGTCAGGGGAGAGGAGGAGAAAAGAAAGAGAGAAGAAACGGGGGGGAGGGAGGAAGAGAGAGAAAAAAGTAAAAGCCGTGTTTGGAAGAAATAGTCAAATGGGAAGATTGTTATGCTGTCAGCACATAGTTGTTGTTACATGTCAATTCAGTTGATGCTTTTGAAACTCACATATGAAGTCTATTTAGAAGAATAAGTCTATAAGAATTACCCAAAATCAAAGTGAAAGGAAGGTCTGAAAAGACTCATGTGACAGTGATGTGTAGTATAATGCTGCTCAAAGCACAGCAGTACAGAGTGAATGTAGAGACATTGCTGGGACAAAGTCGAGTGCTGAAACCGTCATTTGTTTATTTTTGACTTTAATTCAGTCAGTACAGGATGGGACAGGAAAACTATTTGGGTTGAGGTAGTTTAGCTGTTGATTTGAAGAAAATATAGATACCTATCTTTTACATCCAAGGAATTCTAGCCAGATAGAGAAATCATATGATAAAGCTTGATAAGGCATTAACATATGAGAAGGCTTTTCTAAGTAGACAGTTCATAAATAATAATGTTAAATAATTTACCTGTTTGAAAGGTGAAAATACATTTTCAGTAAAGTGGAGCCAAAGTGAAAGCATAGATTGAAAAAAATATGTATTAAAGTTTACAGTCTAAAGTATGAAAATACTCTTCGGAGTAATACAAGGAAAATGATATAATTCATAGATTTAAATCTAAATAGATAGAGGCATATGATTAGAGAAGCACACACTTGAGAATGTGGCCTTTGAGCATCAGCTAGCCAAAACCATTCATAGTATGCTGTCTTGGTAAGGGTAGTGGAAATGAATAGATTCCTCTCTTTGGTTGAATAACTAATGCACATTTTTGGAAAATAAAGATAACATTCCTATGTTCAGATCCTATTTAAAATATTACTAGTTTATGAGAATATAAGTAGTAGGATATTCTTTGTGACATTATTGTTAAGAACAATATGAAAACCCACATAACAAAGCTCGGTGCAGTGGAGCATGCCTGAAATTCTAGCACTTGGGATGGGGAGGCAATAGGGTTATGTGGGCCCTGTCTCAAGAATAAAATGACATGTTCCCTGCCCCATAAAAAGGGGAACCCTCATACCAACTTCCTTGCCCCGCACAAAAACCCATACACCTTTAATGCTCATCACAAAGAGCATTGCTGAATAAAGTATATATATTTGTTCCATATAGCACAGCAACTTAAAATGTGTGAGAAAGATCTCTATATACTTGATTGGTAGGATTTCTGAGAGGTGCTGTTGAACCCTTAAAACAGATTGAAAACAGCATTGTTATATGAGCATATGTGTCTTTAGCATGCTGGCATAAATATTTGTAGTTATATAGAAAGCCCCGAGAAGGGTTACACTCATTATTGAGGAAGGGAGAAGTGGGGCGTGAAGAACATTTTAGTGGGTTATTTTCTTCCATGTAGAGCCTCTGCCTTCCTCGTCACATGGGATCAGTGAGAATTATTTAAAAGTTAGTTCATCCTTTGACACATTGTGTGTACCCCTGGTCAGTAACTCTTTGACCTCATTTACTCAGTCACTCAGTCACTCACTCACTCATTTATTTTTCGGTTTATCGAAGCAGGGTCTCTTTTTGTCGCTCTGTTTCTTTTCATCACTCTGACTGTCCTGGAACTCACTCTGTAGACCAGGCTGACCTTGAACTCACAGAGTTCTGCCTGTCTCCGCCTCCCTGAGTGCTGGGATTAAAGGTGTGCGCCATCACCGCCCAGCTTGACCTCACTTCATTGTGCTGCTTCAGAGGTTCTGTCCTGGTAAAGGTGACCACTGCAGATGCCGTGGGTTTGGCGTCCATTTTTGTGTACAGGTGTGTGACGAATGCTTCGTATCCCTTTGTATTATTGGCTGTCTATTTTGTCCTTTTACTTTTTCTGTTATATATCAATGTTTTAATCTTTCAGTTCTCTTTTCGCTTATTTTCTCTTTTCTTAGACATAAATAACTTAACTTCATTCTATTTTATATTACTATATCGTCACCCTTGATGTCTCATTTGAGGGCATGGCTTTTTTTTTTCTCCTCAATATTTTCTGTGTTCTAAACCATTCACTGTTCTTTCTGTATTTTCAGAGAGATTTCAGAACTATATGGAATCACTATGCCAGTGATTCCTGTTTTATTATTTGATTACGATTTTTTACTGAGGGCATGTTATCTTTGAAGGCTATTTTATAGCTTGGTCTGATTTAATCAACTTTTATGAAGATTTGTTCTATGACAGATACTGTAACAGGCATTCTGGTTATAGAAGTGAGTGTATTAGTTATTAGATTCATAGTATAATGCTTTACTCATTTCTGTCACTCTTTGACAATAAAATCCACCAAATGAGCCGGACCTATAAATTTTGTAAATAGTTAAACCTGTATATACTAATCCAAGGATTAGCAATTACTAATCCATGGAACAGAAATATGTTGTAAATAAAGGCAAATATTTTATAAGTGGAGGATTTATAACTGTTGTTTTAAGAAAGGTGAATGAACAGTTTTCATGGATTTAAAAATCAAACATATATTGAAGAAGATCCTAGCAAGTTGGGTGGTTAATTGTGGCCAGAAAGTCCTTGGATAAATTGTAATGGCAGTGGGGTTTGGGTAAGTTATTGTGGCAGTTAGTTTTGGTTGTGGTGTAGCATAGGTTGCTGCATAGTTTTCCCATTTTGCATCATGTTGTTTATTATATAACCAAACCGGCATCACTCACAATACACATTGATGTATATCAATTGATGTGTTGTGGATGATTCTGAATGGATTAAAAATAAAAGTCATCATATGTATTTAAAAAATAACTCCATATTTTTTTCAGAATATAACAATGCAGAGTCTTCTTGGTAATTTGAAATTTCAAGAGAACAGTCTTTTATTTGTTTTGTTTTCTAAAGTAACTCTGGGTGAGTCAAAGACCTTTGAGGGAATTAATTAATACCTTTTCAATTTTGTCTCTGATGCATGGTGAGAGAAGTCCTTTTCTCTCTTTTGAAATGAAAACTAGGGTCCATTTAATGTCATATGCTGTAATACCACCTACCTCTCTGCTGAGCTTCAATTATGTAGTCAGTAAATGAGTTGGTTTGGAGACTTTCTCTGAATTTTCTGAAACCAAGTCTTTCCACAGATATCCAAGAGAAGGGTTGGAGAGATGGGTCAGAGGTTAGGGGCACTGGCTGCTCTTCCAGAGCACTCCAAGATCTGACACCCTCATACAGTATACATGCTGGCAAAATACCAATGCAGATAAAATAAAAATAAACTATTTAGAAGAAAAAAGAAATCCAAGAGAACCTGGGCATAGAGGCACACTGTCTCAAAAAAAAAAATTGAAGTCTAAGAGAAAGTGTAGAAATCCTTTCCAGAGTTCCTTGCTCTTGAATTAGTGCTCACAGAGGAGAAAATTAAGGCCTAAGAGAAGAGGTGTGTGTGTGTGTGTGTGTGTGTGTGTGTGTGTGAGAGAGAGAGAGAGAGAGAGAGAGAGAGAGAGAGAGAGAGAGAGAGAGAGAGAGAGAGAGAGAGAGAGAGAGAGAGAGAAGAGAGAGAGAGAAATAGAGAGGCAGGGGAGGGAGGGATAGAATACTTGGTCTAAATGTAGTTTTTTAGTAAATTGATTTTCTAAAGTTTTCTTGGCATTTGGGAACCCTTGTGGCTTTGGTTATAAAGTTTGGCAGCTGTGTTTTTAAAGGTAGAAAATCATTTATTACCCTGTGTTTCTCATGGTTTGTTAGGTGTATAGTGAGAAAGTAATTGTAAATTATGGTCTAATGTGAATCCCGTGTCAGCTGTGTTGATAGAGTTATGCACAGTTACACCCTTGGTGTGGACATACCAGCATCCACACACAGGCACTGCGGTTGGACTCTCAGTGTGAACATACCAGCATCCACACACAGGCACTACCCGTACTATTTATTTTTAGAAAAGACAGGCAGTATTCCAGCTATACATAAGCCTCTATTTTCCTACTCATTGATATTTTTATTTATCCCGCTATACAAATAACTCCTCCAGAGCTTTAAATATTTATAAGGTATGTATGTAATTTTCCTGTCATTTCAAGTTGAAATTAACTTTTTAAGAATTGCTCAGAAGTACATTACTCCTCAGTGATTTCCCTGTTTCTGTGGCCGGCAGATCTGGGGATTAGGGGAGTATGCAGACCTAATTTTCTAGTTGGGAATAAAATGCAGGTAGACAAGTTAGTTAAGAGTAAAAAGTTAGCCGGGCAGTGGTGGTGCATGCCTTTAATTCCAGCATTCGGGAGGCAGAGGCAGGCGGATCTCTGTGAGTTCGAGGCTAGGCTGGACCGACAGCCTCCAAAACAATAGAGAGAAACCCTGTCTCATAAAACAAACAAACAAACAAACAAACAAAAAAAGAGTAAAAAGTTGAGAATACAGAGAAATGTGGTGGTGCATGACTGTAACTCAGTGCTTTAGAGGCTAAGGCATAGTAGGACCTTGTTTAAAAAACTCAAAACAATGAAAAACAGATTATTGGATATACAGTCTGCTGGATTTACTTAGGATGATTTAGGTAATTAGCAACTTGATGTTTTATATTCATAGACAAGAATTAATTTGAAAAAACTATGCCAGTTCATTTCCTATTACCTATATAACTGAATTGAGTTGCACATTAGCTGGGAGTGATGGTGTCTATTAGGATGTGTGATGTTTCGTTTATCTGTGTAACACTTTTATCATCAGCACTTGGCACAGCACCAACCACTAGCATATTACAAACACTATCCAGGTATTGGTCCTCTTGGTTACTGAAGAGGGAGAAGTTAACAACTGCTGTAATATCTTTAGGTTCTAGGATAATGGGTCACATGTCATTATCATGGAATAAAACTAGTGTTACTTTAAGTGGTAATTTTTCTCTTTCTTTGATTATTTTACTCTTTAATAAAGCTTTTTCCAAAGGTTTTTGAAATGTTACTGTCTTTTTCTTACTTAAAAATATAGGAGCTCAGAGACAAGATTATTATATAGTAGGGGGTATGATCCCCAATATTGTAAAAAGGGAGCAAAAGGAGAATACATGTGATATTTAAACCTAGTGCTTTGGTTCCATAAGGATCATGGGAAGAGAGTGGGGAAATATTACAATGAAGAGGGTCTAGATCAGTGATTCTCAACTTGGGTGTTGCAAACTCTTGCCGAGGGGGTGGGGGGGTCACATATCAGATATCCTGCATCTCAGATGTTTACAATATGATTCATAACAGCCATAATAAAGTAGCAATGAAAATAATTTTATGATTGAGGTACCACATTATGAGGAACTATATTAAAGGGTTGCAGCATTAGGAAGGATGAAAACCACTGGTCTAGATGTTGTTCCCAGTTGGATTCTCCATCCTGTCTGAAGTCTTTCCAGTGGGCTTGGGTCTTCCTTTCTTTTGTACCTGTTCTCCCTTTAAAGAATTAGTTTGTGAGTGATCTGCTGCTGCTGCTGTTGTGTTTTGTGCTGGAACAAAGTGAGAACTGCAGCTTCTACCCTTGTGTTGGACATAGAGAAATTTCTGAAGTCTAGGCTCTGTGTCTGGAGGATTGTGTTTCCTATGGCTAGGGCCCAAGCTGCATTTGCCTTCACATTGCTCAGATATTTGTAAATTAAGAAGTTATCTTGAAAACGTAATTGTCATTCATAATCTTTATTTTTTCTAATTTATTTTATGTGCATTGGAATTTGCTTGCATGCATATCTGTGTGAGGGTGTTGGATTGCCTGGAATTGGAGTTATAGATGGTTGTGAGCTGCCATGTGGGTGCTGGGAATTGAACTTGGGTCCTCTGAAAGGGCTCTTAACCACTGAGCCTTCTCTCCACCCCTCCCCATTATTTATAATCTTTATGTCATCTGTAATCAATTTATTTATTTTAGTGACTTTAAATTATATGATGAGGGCCTAGGCTTTATTGAAACAAATTAAGTCAGCCTTTATAATCAGTCTCCATTTGTCAGAGTTATGAGTCTATTTTAAAGAAAACAAGAAGGAGTAAAGTCCTGAAGAACACAAGTTTAAGTGAGGGTTTAGTGCTTATGCCATGGTGTTACTTGAACTTTGTGTACTTATAAGCAGTTTTCACAAAGGTGCAAAGGAGGTCTGGATAGTTGCTTCATGTCATTTTATTTTAAGATAGTCAGTCGTTTTACTATTTGTGTTAAACCCTTAGGACTCTTAGAAGACATCTTTAAATCTCCAGCTGTGGCAACGGCTACATTGAAAATGTACATGCGAGGTGTTTGAAGTCACAGTTTAGAGAGTTGGGTATTAAATGGGACTTCAGTTAGTTTTGGAGAAAATGGTAACTTCTGCTTTTTTTCCCCACAGTTCTCATGTCAAAGATGCCTCTCCTGGTCCTCTGATTGATGTTACTAACATCCCTACTCCACGAAAATTTCTTGATGCCACTCAGTATTGTTCTGCTGGCAACTCAAGTGGTAAGTTATTTTTTATTATGTGACAGTCTTAGTATACTAGAAAGCCTAGACAGAGACATGTGGGACCCTGTGATGTGCTCTTTGGGACCCTCACAGGAAAGACATATAAAACTGTTGGCTGGACCTGTTGCATTATAGATGGTCAAAACTGGCAGCTAACTGCCCTGCCTACAGATTCCAGCTATGAATGCATTTTATTTGGTTGGTACTGTTTAGCTTTCTAAGCTTGCATTTAAATGTTCTTTGGTAAGATGTGTTCTTGTCTTTTTGGTTATAATCTATATTGCTTCTGTTGATATCAGATGGCAGAAAAATAAAAATGAGACCAGGCCATATATTATGATCAAGACAGGCACGCTTCCTTTATTGGAACTTGAGTCCAAGCTGATCAACATGAGCCAAAGAGAATTTGCATTGATGAGAGGTGACCAGGCCTGCTGTTTGAATGAAGGAAGCATCAGGCTTTTGTTGGTTTTTCAATGATAGAATAAAGTTTGTTAATTGTTCATGAGCACAGTTTCAAAGATGTTTCCTTTCTTGTACACAGCATTCTGGCCTTGAGGTTTGCAGGCTGGCAGTTCTCTACTCCACTGCTCAGCCCTCCTTCTGGTGCTGACATTTTCTTTTTGTTTTTGTTGTGTCTTTTTCTGTGTAGTCCAAGCTGGACTCAAACTTAGCATCCTTCTGTACGTGCTACTGTGCCTGTTGATGGTGCCATCTTGCACAAACACCAGGCTTATGGTAAGCGTAAGAATGTTAGGTGCATGAGCTGCTTAGATAGCCCAAAGTCAAATAGATCAAATAACGTGTAGTGTAGTGTAGTCTTGGGCAAGACAGCATCAAATATTCCATCACATACAGAACTGAGCAGGGTGTGGCTCAAAGATTGAGTATGGAGAAATATCCACAAAGTAATTTTTAAAAATAAGATGATGGAGTTTCATTTCTTTGTATGTTTAAGGTTGGCTGTGGGAAAGCTTACTATGATTCTGAATATAAAGCTTTAGGGGATTTTTCTGGAGTGGCTCAAATGGCGTTTTCGCTGAGTTCAGCTGGGTCACAACCTTGGGGCCACTTCACAGGGTTTCTGTGCCATCATACCTTTGGGTTATGCAGAAATTATGCAGAAGAAGAGTGCATAATTTCTGTGGTATTTGCAGGTACTTTCAGGTGGCAGCCAAAGCCCTCAAAGTCTTTAATTTAAAAGATAGTGAAGATTTTTGTTACCATTGGATAAATATTAGTTTATTTTTATTGAGGGTTAAGCCTAGGGCATGCCCCATGCTAGAGAAGTACTACATTGCTATTCTCCCAACTCTCTATTTACTTTTTATTTCTGAGACAAGGCCTTGCTAAGTTGGAAAGACAGGCCTTGAACTCCCTCTTTATCCCAGGTTTTCTGAACTTCTTGCTTGATACAGTGTTTCTTTTCTCAGAGCTTTTACTTCTGTGAGGGATTGTAGAGTCCAGAAGTATAAAATGAAGTATACACATTTAGTTTTGATTTGTATTTTACTTAACTTTTTTCAATTTGCCAATTGTTATATCCTTATATTTTTAAGGAAACCATCCTGTTTAGCCTGTTTATATTACTTTGTGTCAGTGTTGCTGTCATAAATTGAAATAACAATTGAAATAACAAATTTTAATTGTAATGAAATTATAGGTTAACTTTGTAAAATAAAAGTGCTATGTACGTTTCAAATAAGCTGAAAATGCCAACTATAGCTGTTACATTTGTTATTTTTTAATAAGACTCCTTTTACTTTCTGATGGATTTACTTTATTCTGTCAGGTCCTGGAATTAACAATGTCATGTAGTGGAATTCATGTTCCCACAGTGACTCTTGTTATTATTAGAAAACTCTGGAAAAACCTCATTCTATCTTAAGTAGAGCCAAGACCATTGTGGAAACCACATTTAGAGATGTGTACAAATCTTTCTCTTTAGAAGGGTTTATTCCTGGACTGTTTTGGATACTGTTGATTTTATGACTGTCATTGGTGAGGATGAAAAAGAATGTTAAGTTATATTATTATATTGATTTATGTTAGTAACAGCCTAAGTTAAGAAGTGTTTATCGCCTGCTAGGTGAGAAGTGATGTTGAAGTGCTTTACTTGAATTCACTGAGATGGGTATTATTAGTAGCTTTATTTACATGCAGGAAAACTGAGGCACAGCAAGGTTAATAATTGGCTTTAATCTACCCAGCTGATTAAGAAGCAGCTGGATTTCAATGCTGGAGCTGAGTTCTAGAATTTTTTTAAAAATTAGTTTCCTGTTGTTACAAATAAACAAGGTGTGTCTTGTGTGTTCATTTTCTGTTCACAAACATGGCTTATTCAAAATAGGTGTATTAATTATCTTAAAGTTTTGTAGCTTAGAAACCTGACGCAAGTTTCTAATGACATAGCTTGGCAGGTAAAGTGCCTACTGTATAAGCATGAAGATCTGAGTTTGGATCCTGAACATCCATGTAAAAGCTGGGTACAGCAGCATGTGTCTGTGTCTCCAGAGTGGGAGGAAGGGGTATGGAGACCAGTTAGATGCAGGGGAGGGGGGGCCACTGGCTAGAAAGTCTACCTGAAAATAGCAAGCTGCAGGTTTAGTGATAGACTCTGCCATAAAAAAATAAGGTGGCAAGCCATAGATGTTCTGATGTTGATCTCTACCCTCCATGTGCACAAGCATGAATGCATGTGAATGCCTGCATGCACGCGGGCATGGAACACACACACACACACAACACACACACACACACACACACACACACACACACACACACACACACACACACACACCATGCCCTATCATGAAGCTGGTTTTAATGGTAAATCCCAGCACTCAGGAGGTAGAAACAGGAGGATCAGGAGTTCAAGGTCAGCCCAGGTATATAGTTTGTGGCCAGACCAGGCTACATAAGACTCTTAGAAAAAACAAAATAAAAAAGTAACACGTGTCTCATTGGGCCCAAATCAGAGTCTTTACTGGGCCGTGTTTCTTATTGAAGGTTATGGGGACTCTTTTTCCCTGCTACCATTACATGGACTCTTTCTCCTGGCTCAAAAGCAACAATGTTGCTAGATGACAGTTTTCCCTCATTGTACTTCTCTGACCCATATTCCTGCTGTCTTCCTCCCCTTTTAAGGACTCTGTGATAGAATTGAGCCCACCTGAGTACTTCAGGCTAATCTTGATATCTCACAGTCTTTAACTTCAATGATACCTGCATGAGAATCTTCTGTGCCATGTAAGGTGACCTACTCACAGGCCTTGCGGCTTAGGCATGGATATTTTGGGGATCTGTCATTCTGATTACCATACTCTGCAGAGCTGATTTTCTGTCTTAAGTTATCTTTAGAAACCAATGTGTGAAAAATTTGACTTTTTTGGAATTATATGGTGAAATCTTTTTAAGTTCTTGCCATTCTAGACCTTAGGACTCTATTAATATAAATCACATTATTAAAAGAGATAGTAGAAGCGAAGAAGACACACATTATAGAGAGAATACATAACATGTTACTAAGTACATATAAAAGCTTGGGGCTGATGAAGTATACCATAATAAAGGACAGAAATTTTGTCTAATTCTTGGTACTGAACAGCAAGTCTTTAGCATCTATTTGTGGAGTACTCTGCAAGTTAGCTGAGAAAGTAATAGACATTTTCAGCAGGGAATTTAACATAGGCTCTTAAAGCTCCCCTCTCATCTTGTGAAACAGTAGGATGGAGGGTGTAATCCATTAGAATTGACACTTTTATAGAGGAAGTTCCAGTGGGGAATCCCGGGGCAGAATGGATTTCCCATTGGGGTGCCATAAATTAAGGTTGGAGGTGATTCCTGAGAATGTTCAGGTTATTATTAATTAAATGAGAACTCTGATTGCTTGTGAATGAGTCATTTTTCAGATGCCTTATTATAGAGACTTTTCTCTGAGTTTTCTATCATAGTTTGTAAGTGATGCTTTGAAAACTGCGTTGTGTTGTTCAGTGGATACAACAGTGCTATGAGGTCATTTTAGGGCAGCTGCTGTTGTTATTACTATAATGGTTGTCATCTTTATATTCATTATACTTAAGCATATTTAAGAAAAGTTACTTGGGATTACATGTGCATATGTGTTCTCTAACTAAATAAAGTACTCATAAATTGCAAAATCGAGCAAGTAATGTTAAAAGTCAAATAATTGGGATTTGCATTGCTTTTCTACTAAATGTTACTCAGATTATAAATGGCATAGTAAAGAACAGGATAGATTATGAAGAACTGAAAGAAAGAAAAGTATATACCTAAAAGATTGGTATTTATTTGCTAATCAATAAAACAAGCTAGTAGAATAAGGGGAAAATATGAACATGCCTTTTTCTTAAGGAAAATCACGTGCTAGTAATATATAGAAAAATATTAGTTACTCAGCTATTTCAAGAATGGTTTTACAGATACAGAAAGTGATTCCATTGAGATCTAATGTTTAGATTGGAACTTGGCCTCATTCTGGTTCTAGTTGTGTGTAGGGGATGCATTTTGCAAGCCTCTGTCATTGCAGTATTTTGTAATGTATGGGAAAGCTAGTGTCTCGTTTAGACATAGTAATTCATGTAAAGAATTAGAAAGATTGGGAGAAAAGCCAGAAATTGTAGTAAAAGTGTTGGTTTAATCTTTTGAACATCCAGTATGTCTTTCCATCTGTCAAAGAGCCTTTGGAAAGTTTGTGACCGAGCAAGCATTTCCAGGCATTCCATTTGTGGCTTCTTGATTCATTTTATTCATGTCTGGGTGGGCTACTAAGATCATGACTGTAGCAAAAGTGGACTTTTTGCTACTTTCATTTTTGATATAACATAGGTCAAGTAATAAAAAAGAACACTATTTTTTTTCTTATTGCTGCTGTTTTTTCTTTCTTTCTTTCTTTTTTTTTGAGACAGGGTTTCTCTATGGCTTTGGAGGCTGTCCTGGAAATAGCTCTTGTAGACCAAGCTGGTCTTGAACTCACA